GACTAGCCACAACACAAAGGTGTGCAAACCATCAACTGAGAGACAACCGACTCTTTATTCACCATGAAGATTACAGGCAAGAAGACAGTTCTACTTTACTGCTGTTAACAATATTGCAGTACTCTACGAGTGCCCATAAAGATATGGCTCAAAGAAACCACGAGTTGTTTATTTTCCACATACAAGAAAGAGCCTGACAAGCAATGGAAAAAGAATTCAAACTGGAAATGCCAGTTTAATCATGCATTTGAGATCCAGATTTTACATCAGGGTTTTTTAGAGGTGAGTGGAAGCATCTGGTAAATGACGTTGCTTATATACCACAGAATGGCTCTCCCCACAGTAAGTCTGCACCAGACTATGACAAATAAATCTTGCCAGACGATTACTTCATATGTCCTTAATGAAATTAACGTAGAAGTGATGAATTCAAGGACATCTTCTGTCAGTAAACCTAATCTAGAAGTGGACTTTGTATTTTGAGGGCTGGCTATAGCAAAAAAGACATTTCTGCTAAAACAACACCAACACCAAGACAACATACACAACTCCCCATGAGAAACTTAATTCCTTTTTTACAGACAGTCTCCAGGATATGCATTTAATATTTCTTGGCCTTCTGAGCTTTTTTTTGCACTACATTTACAGTAATTACTTTTGTGATAGCAAATATCTTTGTAGAACAAAAGCATTTGCATTTGACAACTACACTGCTCCAAAACACCAACCCACCTGGGTTTTTTTGAGTCTTTATGTGCAGAACAGCAGCGCTTACTGAAAGTTCTGTTATTTCTCTTTATAACTAGTTTTGAGACTCTGAAAGCAACAGAATAGTGACTTACAGTTTAGAAAGAGGAGGAATATTAGCAGCTGTTCATTTAATAGAGTTACAACTCCTCTGCAATATGCAGAACTGCTACAGATATAAAGACGTGATCATTTAACAAAACATTCACCATTCACATTGGGCAGCAATTAGAAGATGCTGCACATTATCTCAGAGGATTGTATGTTCTGTCTTAATGGGGAGCCATCCAGGAGCAGCAAACCAGCTGGTGAACAACAGAATAGTTTTGATAAGCTGTCTGGGAGCAATAGAGTATCCATGAAATTGATATCCTATTTCCAACTTTAGACTTCATACAGACATTAATTCTTTTCCAGTGCTGGAAGCTAACCAATTAGAGCTAAAAGATGACCAGAGAACAAAACCATCTCTGGAAGAGTGGATGACTCAGGGAGGCAAAGTCAATTTTACACAAGCAAAACTGGAAGGAGGAAATAGCTGAAGATAAAGGACCATGTTAGACAGGCTCTTTGGTGGGTTCTGCAGGCTGCCAGACCCGTGGGACTTCTGCCTGGAACACTGTGAGGTGTGTATACAGGCTTTAAAAAGGGAAATTCTTTCTAAATAAACAATGCATTATTTTAAGAAGATCTCCTGGAGGGTAAGAGGGGTGCTTACTAGTATTATTTCTTCCCTGAGACAAGCCTGTGGAGGTAATCACTGCCAGACTCAGGGAGAACACTGACCAAAAGGCTGGCCTTTGAGTTGGAAAAAAATTGAAGGAATCCATCTTAAGGAAGGCTTATGATTAACAATACTGACCTTGAGGGGAGATACCTAATGCTATCTTCTCACCCAAATGGGCTGAAGACAGTGCTTTAATATACATACCAAACCCAACTGTTGGTGCTGCATTCATTAACTGCTTTTGAAAGCACACTATCATTGACAGTGTGATAAAACATTATGTTTTATCCTGGGCAGTCTCCCCCCATAGGTGTCAGCAATTCTTCAGACGATAAATTCCATGTAAAGGTTGCTATTATTTCTATTTTTTACAGTAATAGCAAGGCAGTGTATTTCTTCCAGTTCACTTCAGCTTGCAATATCTCCAATGCAGATAGCTCTCATTCTTCCTTTATGCAGTCTTCCTTTGTCACTGCTTGACAGTACATTCAAGTGTTCAAATTCAGTCATTCACTGACTGTAATATAATGGATTTGTTACTATATGCCACCTTTCAAGAAGCGATCTTGCCAAGTTCATTTTGTGCTTTTTGAATATTCAGCTCTCCATCAGCTCAATCCAAAACACTGTATCTCTGTATTCAGTGCCTAGGTTTTGCATCCCTCCTCCCTATGCACCACATCAACCTCTGAAATGCCAAGTAAATGTTTAAGTTTAAACACATGAACAAGGGACACTTTCAGATATATCTGGGTCAATATTATGAGCTCCATGCCAAAGGATGTTGTGTGTTAGCTGAGCAAGGCAGTATATTTTTTTCAATTGCTTCAGCCACTAGCCAACCACGTGAACTATCCTGAACAAATTCTTCTTTAAAATTTTTAATGACAGAATTTAATACAAAACCCAAAAGAATTTGATATAAAAACAAACTCATCTTAATTACACACAGAGACCAATGAAACAGCATGAAACGTCTGTCGTTTGGGCCAGCTAGTCCTTAAATTTTAACATAGTACGCTTTCTTTTATTTAGGATATACATCTAGGCAATGTTTCTGGGGGTTTTGCCATCTACAGAGCCCTAAGGTCCCTTAATGCAGCTTTCATCATCCTTTCTTGATACATGCCATCAAACTCTATTTCCAAAAAGAGTTGTCATTAGGAAGGGAGCCCCCAGGCACCACATTACACAGTAGCCTGGTTCATATAAATGTGAACTGGGAAAAATAATCAACCACTTTTAAATACAGCTTTTAAATCATGCAGTTGAACTAGCCTACACTATTTACATGAAACATCTTGTAGTCATTCCATACAGTAGTAAAATTTATTAGCATTTTCCTATAAGGCAGTAACAACTGGAGATACACAATAGCATCAGGTCTTTCTCCCTTCAAAGAGATTTTACGAAGCAGTAAAGCCCTTCTAGCATAAACTGTACTAGAAAGCCTGAAATGGTTTCAGATTTGGTACAAACTATAGATGTAGTCTGTTACTCTTCTTGCTTTTCCCTTCCTCATTGGATTCACATTCTTTTTTTCAGAAACACTTTTTTCTTTTTTTAATTTTTTTTCCCTGCCTTGCAAATCTATATTCTTTCTCTGTTCCTTCACTCATGAGTTATTTGTGGGCTGGTTTAGAGAAAGACCCATACAGACAGAGGGCAGTCGCAGTAGCAGAGGCAAGAAGCCAGCCCTACTCCTGCACCTGTGTGTATCTGTGAATGAGTCTCACTGTCAACCGTGACACACCACTGAGCATGAAAGGAGCAAAGAGGGGCTCTTCCAAGGGCACACACTTTAGTCTGTGTTAAGGAGTAAGCATGAACCTGTGGCTTCACTACCAATACTGATTGTTTTTATCAAAAACAGCCCATTCTACTATTCCTTGGCAAGGTCTTTCTGCACATGAGGACTGGCACTGATAGAAGCATAAGAGACAATATTATTTTCAGCTTTGGGGAAATCAGATTACCAGACAGCACAAAGGCAACCAACCCAGTAATCCTCCAAGTACTTTGCATACCATGTTTTCTATGTTTTGCCCTCCCCTGAAACATAAATTATCATAAATGCTGGAGGAAAGATGTAGGATTTGACAGACAGCTGGTCAACTGGACATGGCGAATACTCTTTTCCTGACATATACCACCTCTTCTTCCTCAGCCACCTCTGTCTTATGTATCTTTAAGTGTCTATAGTCCTCAATGAACATCTAACCCTTGACTGCACAATGTCACCTTGGACTGTAAGAGGGTTTTTTCACTATCTTTAGTACTTTCAAATGCCTAAATACAATTTATCACCCACTGGGCTATTTCCTGCTTCAGTTACACCTATGCTCACACTCTGAAAGAGATGTTGGCATCATTTTAAGAGATTTTCCATTTCTAATTTTCACATAATTCTCAAAGATGTGCACTGATAGTCTTAGCTCCTCAGATACATAAAGTAACTAACCTCAAAAACACAGGCAGCAAAGCTATTTTAAATGGCAACATGCAGCTTACAATAAAAAGCATTATATGTTGATATAGCACCACAGTTCTAAAAAATCCTAAAGCATTCAAGCTGACATTTAGACAGCCTTGATCTTACTTGTGACCTTCCTTTGCTCTGGTTCAGAAAACATCCCACCTGACTACTGGACTACGCCTGTGGAGATTGTTCCCTCTCTCCATTGAGAATGCAGGTTGTCTAAAGACAATGCTCATGGGTTTAAAATGCCATTTAAATACAGGCAATTCTGAATGGAAGTTGGTCTTCCAGCAGTGCAACAGGATTTTATGCAGTTTGGCTAAGAAACTCAGCTGGTATGCAATCACCAGAAAATATTACAGAAGCTTTAATTTTTGTACAGAACAGACAAATTCGTTGTTTTGAAAGGTCATGACAGTAAATTGCATGGAATTCAATTTACCTCCCTCAGATGGATGAAGGTCTGAGTCAAACACAGAACAGTGGAAGCCTTTGGTTCCAAGAAGTCTGTGCTGATTCAGACCTGCTCTTAGGCAGGCAAACCATCCTTTCAGCTCTGCATTATTACAGCTTGTGATTTTCAACTGATCTTTTTCCTCAGCTGTGCTATTGTAGCAAATTGTGCCATAGATGAACATCAAAGCAATGGTCAATGCAAGAAAAATTTATTTGTTCTTAACCAGGAACTTACCAAATATAAAGTTATTTGTGAAACAGAGATCATCATAGTTGTCTCACACTCCATGTGTAAAGTGAAATATAAAAACTACAGGGAGATGCATGGGAGACAATATCATCAGTACAATACAGAAAGACAAATACTGGAAAAGCAAAAAAGCACAAGGATTGGTTTCAAAAACAGAAAGACCATGAAGGCAAAGTCAAAAGAATATCCTGAACATGTTTTAGATTCACAGTACACCCAGGAGGAGAGTGCACACCTGTAGTACACCTAATTTAACAGGTTCCTTGTGCATAACTGAGAACAATAGAGTTAGTGAGCAGATAATTCCTGGCTGGATTATCTTATGAGGCAGTAACTCTTACCTAAAGCTTTCTGGGTATTCAGCAACAGCCATGTTGATAACATCCAGTGCATGCTGATAGTGCTTCTGAGCTGAAAAGAGGAGAGCCAGTAGATGAAGTGAATTCATGTCATCTTTGCACAGTTGCAGGGCTTCTTGAAGATGGTCTATAGCATCTGAAATCTAGAAGGAGATGGCATAGAAATAAAAAGAGAACTCCGTACTCCTTCAGTCCTACATTTATACCTCAAAGATAAGAACAAATACAAATTCTGAAGAAATTCTACTTAGATGTCTTCTATTATTCGAACAGTTTGCCAAAATTAACAGACTGCACTGCTTGAAAAAAACAAACATTCTAGAAAAAGAAGTCTGTAGCATTACTAAATCACTACTTATAAACAAGAGCAGCAGATCTGATCCAATCAACCCCCTCTTAACTTTGGCTTGGTGATTCTATGCTGTAAACAGATGCACTACAGAGGCCCAATTCTCAGCTCTATTTTCTAGGATGGGTGGCTGGCTCTTCACCTGGGGGAGAGCATTACACATTTCTGTTGTATTTTGTCTCTTGTAATAGCTGGACAAAGCCTTTCATGATTTGGATCAAGAACATAAAAATTGAGTTTGAATGTTCAAGGGAAAAAGAGCTGAGATTTAAAATGTTGTCAGAAGAAGAAATATCTTCGCAAGCAGTGATGTAAAGAGCAGTCCTGACACTCACAGCAGTAGCATGTCATCAGAACCAAGTCTCATTTGGCAGAAAACTTAACATCTATAATGAATGCAAGTATATCACATGCTCTTTGTGATCTAGTACGCTACTTTAGGCTATCTGTTCAAAAGGGAACTTCTTAGCAGATTCTCTTTTGTTTGTTTACCAATAAGTTTTATGCAGAGGATTTTTTTAAGATTCTCTAGTGCCTGAAATTACCATTACATACATTATTCCAGATCTGTGTTTGGCTCTGAAAATCTGCAGAAAACAAAACATGAAAATGTGTAAATTTCTTTTCCTCATGTATGCTTTCCCACTGCTTCTCTTATGGATGGAGAATGTAGTTCCTTCTTCCCTACTATGAGAAGTTCCCACCTAGCAAAGTTTTGCAGACATTTTTCTACCCTGGTATATCAACTGTCAAATTCCCACTGCCTCCACAGCTCTCTCACAAAAACAAGTAGCACATAACTAATGAAAGCAACAATTACACTGCCTGCAGCTACAACAGAAGTTGCTGATTATCTAGATCCCAGGTATGCTTCTGGGAGCATGGTATATATATTCTATTTGTGGAACAACTTCATCCTAATGTCCAAGTGACATTTCACTCTTGCTGTTCATACACGAGCCACAGTACTTAACTACCCTATTACTGGTGACTCCATGCAAGCCTGGAGATCAGTGTGACTGCTCCAGACATAACCCCAAACTGGCATCTGGCCCACAGTGTCAAAACTGCTGAATGTCCTGGCTTGGATTCAGGTTGGGATACATGACTGAGTGCTCAGCTTTAATGAATTACTGCTTGTCAGTGGAGCTACTTTAACCACATGTGTTATTACAGCTTACTGCTAAGGTAAATGCATTGGCCTAAATCACCAGTGTTCCCCCAGCAGCTCACTAGAATACATTTTTATACAATGTAAAAATACTAGCAATGACAAGACAACTTGAAAGCAGGACAACAAGCATGAAAACCATTGTGGGCCCAGATCTGCTGTCCACAAAGCTCTTCAGTAGATATATCAGAGGTATATAAATTGACTTGCTAAAACAAAGCTGCTATCAAGACTCTTTTTACACTCAGGACTAAAAACACCTCCTATTTTTTCTATTCCTCTGTCTCAGACCTGCACGAGTAGTCATAAAGAAGATATAAGCTTGGAGAAAAGTAAGTTCATTAGAAGAAAAAGAAAACCTGTAAACCAGACAACTGGAGGGGACTTTGAACTGCCTGTTCCAGCTGACCCTGTTTCGAGCAGGGATTGATCTGGGTGATCTCTAGTGGTCCTCTCCAAACCCGATTATTTTATGATTCCAAGACTTGGGAAGGTGATCCTAATTTGCTAGTATGAATCAGACAAAGAATAATACTTGCAACTAGTGTCTTTAGTGAGGGGCTTCAAAATTGTAAGGGTACTTGACCTTACTTGCATGTGAACACGCAAACTGAGTCACAGACTTTGCTCTATGTGTTGCAAGGGACTTACAGCCACACAACTGCAAGTCCATACCCCTAACAGAGGCCTGCCATCAAAGAAGCTCTCTGACTGTTACAACATCCATGAAATAAAGCTGCATAAAAGTCAGTTGTGGTCTCTCCTACAAACCTATGCCTGCTGGGCAGGCAGTCATATACTGCTGATATAGACATAATCTAAAATAATTTCCCCCTGTTCTGCAGTATAGAGCCTGCAATGGTTACATCTCATTTCAGTGCTTCCCTCTAGTACCATCAGAGTCACAGGCAATGGCTGGTTTTGAAATTTAATTACGCTTCTCTGGCACCTAATTGTTTAACTTGAGTCCAGAAAGGTTCCTTAGTGCTCTAAGACCATTAGTGGCCTACACCGTTCTGCTGCATAATTAGAAACACTGAACGAAAAACTTTTAATTATATGAACTCTATGCCTTTATGGGAAGCATTATATGAAACAACAACCTGCAACAGACCAGAAGCAATGAAATACAAACTAAATTTCTAGAAGAACAAAAGCAACATATCTGGCAGCAGTCAAAGTGAACTTCTTTTGAAAGAGGTATTTTTATTTAAGTAACTGTATAATATGAGAAAGCTGGAAGCTGGCAGCCCAGATGGCACCCTGAAACTTCAGGGCTTTATCAGAGGTAGGCTGCCAGTTTAAAATTCCCTACAAGCACTGAGCTTTAAAGTAATCTTATTTCAGCTGGACTCCAAGTCCAAGTGAGGCCTGTAATTAGAAGACGCTGCACTTCCCTGATCTATCTTTCTGTTAACAAATACACCACATGTTTTGCATGGCACACAGGTAAATTCACATCACACTGATCAGGAAGCAAAGATGCCGCAGTAGGCCATAAATAGCATCTTGCAGCACTACCAAATATAATGACGCAACATGGATTGTTTAGGCTGCCTCTCAGAGAATAGGATTTATCTCAATAATGCCATATGTTTCCTTAAAAACAATGTTGGGATGTTACAATTATAGGTATAAAAAGGAAAACAGTACGAGTGTTAAAAATAATTCCCAACACTAGAATGTGCTTGCATATTTAAAATGGTAAATGAAATAGAAACTTGTAAAGAGGAGTTTTCGGGCCTTGTAATTTCACATCAGTTGACAGTTACACTTAATTAACCATTAAAACAACCCACTCCATCTCTTTTTATAGCACGGGGATTACAGAAAGGAGACAGTTTTATTGACTGGCAAGAGCTTCCATTGAAAACAAACTTGCTACAGTCCACCAGAACTTCAGGAAAACTGGAATAGATGCATCTGCACATTATTATTTAATTCTTACTACAAGCCATTTTTGATCACCAGAAAAGTCTAGGCTAGGATGTAGGCAAAAAAGCAGCATGCTGCTATTCAGCAAAGAGGCACTAGCTGGTCCAGAAGAAAGACAGAGATCAGAACTACCCACATCCAAGCAGCCACTGCAAGAAGCATCTCTTAATACCTACTAAAAAACAGTTCCCCTTTTGGGGCAAAGGCAGCAGTCTCTCCTTCTTGAAACGAAACTAAAACCTGTAAAAAATAACTGAAATATTTTCTCTGGTCTCTTAACTGATGTTTATCTCAGTTTTAGATCCAGACACTCTGGAAAGAAGCAGGTGTTTTCTGGATATTGCCACTTGAAACTTGAGGTCTGTTGGAAGCCCATATGAAATTGGTGAGACTTCCAATCCTCAGTTGTTGACCCCTTGCTGTCTTTCCCTTCCTATTTTCATGCAAAAAAGGGCAAATCAGATCAAGTATTAAAATGGTATGAAACTACAAACGTTGTTTTTATGTATTCAATACTGATTTACATGGAATTCAAGGTCAAAACCACCACCACCCCCAAAATGAAAAGGGAATCAACATTTAAAATTAACAAGAACGTTGCTGACTCTCTAGAGTCATTTCCATAGAAACTGGCCTGCTAAAAAACAAGGCAATGCATTAAAATCAGTGAGCTTTAAATGTTCATTCTACCTTGTTTTTGCTGATCCAAATGCTGTTACCACAGAAACAGGAGAAGCAGCCGAACCAGCCGCTGGGAGTTGGGAGTTACAAGTTTCATTTGTCAATTGGCTTGGCCGGCTGCCAGCCAGGCACTGCAGGTGGAGATATCCACTGCAGCAGACACTGACCTTGGCCTCCTGGCACTTCAACTTTGGGGGAAAATCAGACTGAGACCTCCCTTACAGAAGAGGGTATTTACTCTGCATTTTGCTGGAAAATCCACCCTAAAACACTGTGTGGCTGACCTAGACCCTCCAGGAGTCACTGGAGTCTTCCCAGTGACTCCAGTTGTCTTTAAGACACGGACACACACAACACACACATAAGCACAAAGCACATCATCATCATCATCTTTCATTTTGGTTGCTGCTGGTTTCAACTGCCAACTCCGCAGGAACCTTTTATAACCATTCCTCCTCTTGTCACATCCTCATCGTATGTCAGAGGGAAGCTTATGTTTTTCCATTTCCCCTTTCCCTTGCCCAGTGGTGACAGAGACAAGTGCTATTGGAAATATTTTACAGCCTTCCAAGGAAGATGAATTGCTCCAGCTTTGCTTGGCACTCTTTGCTTGGAAGGTCAGCTACCTTCCTTGCTTTGTTCCATGAAAACACTCTCTTATCTATGCAAGCTGATACCTAGATTTTTCAGTGCTGGGTAAGGTTACCTCCTTTATTGATTCTGACTACGGAAACAAAAAGGCCTATTCGTTGAGAAAAACATTCAGGTATTATACTATAACCTACTATGTAGAAATGGCCTGATTTGTTGGTACTGTAGCATTGCTTGATGAAAGCCCTGTGATGTTCAATAGTTAATGCAATCTATCAAAAAAGGTATCATTTATCTTTCAGTTAATCAGAAAGAGAATATATTAGATACTTTAAATAATTAAAGATATTAAAAATGCATTACCAAATGTTTATCATTAAGTAAACCGGCAAAAGAAGAGCAGGATATTTTACAGCAGTCTAAAAATAAGGATGTCTCAGGTATCTCCTCTCTCTCCAAGCATGTGTTAAAGATTTATGGCTCACTTGATGGGAGAAGAGCAAGAGCAGTATCGCAGGGGTCAGGCTGACACTACATAATACACTTAGATCATAGAGCTGTGCTAACAGAGGCAACTGGCAGTACATCAAGGATGAAAAAACGCAGGTGAAGTAGACAAAAGAGAAAAGTGAGCATGAGGACAAGAGACTTAATGGTAAGAACAGAAGGGAACGGAAATGAAGAAATAAGACATATGAAAAAACATTGCAAAGACAGGCTGCAACCAGAGAAAAACAAAAGGTAACAACTTAAAAGGCAGTGGACCAGTATAGTGAAAAAAAACAAAGAGCCAAGGACCACAAAAATCTTGATTTTATTTTTTAGGATAGCAGCTGAAAATCTGTAACGCTTTTACTCATGGCAAGAAGCAGAAGAATCAGCAGATCAGACAATCTCCCCTATGAGGCAAAAGCTGTGAGAGAAAGAAGGGTAGCTGGATATTTTTTAATGAAAGATCCTGAGCAAACTGCATCATAAAGCAGCCAGTAGGCAGATGAGAAAGTTAAATAAGCCATTTTAATTATCCTTTCTTATTGCATGCTTTCTCACAACACACTGCTCTCATTATGAAAGGGTTACAAAAGTGACATTATCAAGAGGGTGCTCTCTTGGAACAATTAGTTTAATCTAATGAACACACAACTCCCCTAATTAGCTCAGGAAAGTAAGGATGCAACTGTTCAGCTCTGTAGTATAGACTAAGGAGAGAAAACTGCAGCAAGCAGAAAGCCTGCCAAAGAAGGAAACTATGATGAAGAAATTTCAAATCTAGCTAGAGAGGCATTTAAAAAATAGAGGCTGCTCCAATAAAGACTTTGGCTTTTAGACAGAAGGGACAAATTTTAAGAAGGGGCAGAAAAATAAAGCACAGCCCAAATGGTTGTGGTTTTTTTCCTGAAAGGCAGTGCAAAGTATTTTCTTATCAGCTTAATTTTTATGAGTTAACACCTGCAGCAGCATTCAAATGGCAACTAATCCCACTCACTGCAGAGCTCCAACGCTTGTCAAAGCCTAACGTCAAACGTGTCCAAGTATGGAATAAAGCAATCCCCAGTGCAGGGAGTGTGCGATCTGGCTGATATAGAATCGGGCAGTAACGAGAGAGGCTTTGGAGCGGCCTGCAGCAGGACACAGCATGATACCCAGGGAACAGGAATAAACACACCTCGCTCAACCCACACAAAGTTGCTCCAAGACTGCTCAGGAGCTGGAGCTGAATACATGTCCTAGAGAAGGTCATTCCATGTGCTATAGAATTACTATTTTAAAAATACGAATTAAAAAATACTTTACATAAGCATATTCTGATTGCTTCATTGACTACAATGTAGGAAGGAAGGGACCCCGTTCAGCAAGCCTGGGTCTTGTTCAACTGTCCTTCCAATGTACTGTCCTTCCACCCTCTCACAACTAAGTGATTTCCAATTATTGCACATACCTGTCTGACAAGAGCCAGCTGCAGTGAGAGGTAGAGGATGATTTGGTGATCCTCTGGGGCCAAGTCCCGTGCTCTTTAAGGATGACCACACAACACAAAAAGAAAAGTGACTGTTAGATTGCACTTTGCAGAATTTCTTCACCATGAGCTACACACAAGGACAAAACAAAACCCAGTCTTCCCCCACAGAAACTAGTCCAGTAACAGGGGAGCACACTGAAACTGGACAAAAAGCAGAACAATGTTGTCCTGGTTAAGCTAGAGTCACAGGAACATGTTCCTGTGAACATACTTCAACTGCCAGGATGTTATACAACTTTCGTGCTCCTTCATTAAATGACACTTAATATTTTGGAACTTGGATAACTAATATGGAAAAAGTAGCTCTGAACTCATAACAAACCCATCAGAGCATTCTGTTAAGTAATATATAGGTGATGCCCATAGTTGTTGTCCAACTTGTTCCTACACTGCCACTTTTCAAACAATAGAAGAGGGTTAGATTAGCATGGGAAAAAGCAGTCACTATTGTGACTATGAGCATGTAGAGGAACGACAGAGTAGAGGACTAAAGATCAGGAGCCTGTGATAGAAGCTGGTGCTCAAATACACAAAACATTCTCCATCCTGCAGCTTCTAGTTTAATCGTTGACAGTAGATTCCTAATTTGGAAAAGGAAGACACTGAGGGAGGAATGATTTGATGACAGGAGCTGCGCCTGGACCAAAACCAAGGCACTTACTTCTCAAGCTTGGACTCTGAGATATTATCTTCTAGTCCACAACAGGCAGCATGCATTGCAATGATCCCTTGACTAGTGAAGGCTGCAATGTCTCCAGAACCACATGTGGAGGCCTTTAACAGTGCAAGGCAGGGAACAGGGATGGACAGCCTGGGCAGAACTGTCCCCTCTGAGACTATGCTAAGCATGGAACTGCAGTCTGAGTTTGCTAGCCTATGGAGAAGCCATTAACCAAGTCAATGAGAGGATAGTGTTTTGAGGAACCTAGAAGCAATGTGGGGCACTGGCTCACGCCACACTGGCAGCCCAGCCCAGGAACTAGTGGTTTATACCCTCTCTGACTCACAGAGCTCACTTATAGCTCTGCATTACAGGGAAGTAACTTCACATGGGAGAAACAGGGAAGAGGAAAGTCCCTCACAGCCAACTGACATTCGTGACCTCTTTCTGGGCTGTATTCCAGAACCCCAGGGAAGCCTGCACCTGCATTGCCCTGACCAAAGCGAGCACAATTAATGTTCTTATGAGGGAGAAATGCCATGTTGACAACACTGGTGGTTAAAAATCCTGACAAAACTATTAATTTGCTAATATTAAAACAAATAAGCAAATAAGAATAAAAAAATTACTTCAGTAAACAATCTACACACCGCTTTCAGGGTAGCCACTTCTCAATTGCCATCTTGGCCTGTGAGCAAGAAGCTGTTGGATTTGACTTTTATAACTAATGGCTCTAGAACAAATTAGTTTAGTATGGACTGAATCTGTCCTGTAATTTTGCAAGTCAAGGTAGCACTCAGTGATTCTGAAGCAATGCCAAAGACATCCAAGTGCAATTAGTGAAGATAAGTCACTTCCACTTCAAAACACACAAAAAATCCAACCAAAATAAAACAAAAACAACTCCCCCAAAAAAATCCAACCAAACAACAATAAGACTCCACAAGACAGAACCCAGCTTTACCCTATGATGTTGGAGTAGGGTGAGCCACCTCTTTAGAAAGCAGCTCCCATGAAACCTTCAGTAGCCTCTCCAGCAATAAATACCAGGGAAAAGTTCACAAGAGCATAGCAGAAGAGATTAATGGTGCTTTTGAAAAGAAACAAAGGGTTGTTACTTTAATGCTCAATTTCCTCACAAGGAATTAGAAAAATATTTGATGCAATCTTCCAGCTGAAAAGGGCCCTTACAAAGATGGCTACAGGCCAAATCACGGCCTGAGAGATCATATATGTACTTCAAAAACAGGTGGAAAAACAAGGAAGATTAAAAAAAGAAAGAAACCAAACTCAGGCATTTAGAAGAACACTAGTAATCAGCTCACCATCACATCCCTGTTGGCTGAGGTTTGAGTAACAAACGCTTGGCTAAAAGCTTGTCTGCTTCCTAGCTAGAGTTAAGATACCATGAAAACAAGTCACAGCCAATGGGAAAGGTCAAAGGATAAAAATAAATGCAGTTTAAAAGCTCTGCAGCACCACAATTACACCAAAATTAGTCAGTAGTGAAAGTATTACACTGGAGTGCAGGAACTAGTGTGACTTAGAAGTATAATCCTGATCTAAATAGTGAATGAATAAATGGCTTTTAAAAATTTTATATCTCAGATCTCCATAGGGTAAATATTGAGAATTACATCTGTGGTTTCAGCTCTTGCAATCACTGCAAAACCAGTGCAAGACAAACAAGCTGGACTCCTTGTTCAGCATCAGAAAAAACAGCTAAGATCCATTAACATCATTCAACCTGCTAAATCTGTACTTTGAGATACTACAGATCTCAAATTTTCTACACTTTTGTGACGTATTTATGATCACACCAAACCCAGAATTAGATACTTCAGCCTAAGACTTAGACCATATAAGCTTCCATTTAATTGCCATCCAAAGTCTGCAGGCATCTACACTTAAAATAACTACCCAAACATCACCCTGTGTATTTTGGGTGATGTAACTTAGTCATAACAGGGTCAGGAAGTTCACACCTCATCTCTCTACCTCACAGAACTGACAAAAAAGGGGTTGAACCCAAGCAGTTTTACTTGAGGTAACTGAGGTAACTGTAGTTACAAGAGAGCTTAATTCACATGTACCTTCAGGGCAGAGCTGTTGGATCAGTCACCCCCACAAAACAGTGATGAAAAACAGGTGAGTAGTGATGTTTTGTATGCTAGCTCTGTAGCTCCTTCTCATAGAACTGCTCATATAAACCACTCATTAGGACAGCAATTATCCCTTCCCTGGTAAGTGCACTGGTGCCAGGTCACCCCATAGCTGCCTACATCCTGATGGTGAAGGTACTTTCCCACCATGAGGGAAACAGGAGTTTAAGAGTGCTTTACACAGGAATTAAGACAAAATTAGCTGTCCATGTTTGCCAGCTGATATCATGTGCATCATGTGAGGAAGCTGCATCTCCCAGCACTGTAGATCTTACTGCAACTAATTTGGGCCTAAGGTTATTTCTGTTTAGTAGCACAACAGGTACTCTCACCTTGGACATTCAATCGAATAATCACCACATTTAACCATTACCATTACAAGAATGGTTTTGACAGACTATTGTTGAAACCTAATGAACTGTTTTTAAACTTTCAGGCAAGGAAGTCTTATGCAGAGGGAAAAAATGCGAACATTAAAAACAACAATTATTCTGAATTTATGCAAAGAAATACACAATGCAAGTATCTGCAAGATTCCTACTCACCTCTCCAAAGTCTGAAGTGCTTTCTTGTTTAATTCATCCTGAGTGCCCTTCAGAATAGCTGTAGAACAAGATATAATGCCATTTAAGAGTTGAATTCAATGTTTAATATTACCTAAATAAATATATAGAGTATTTCAAAATGGGAGCATAAAACCTGTGGAAGTCTGGGCAGGGGTGTGTGTGCATGTGTTCGTTTTAACATGAATTCTGAAATTCATTTTTATTAGATTCTTCTAACTCTCTTGTTTGAAACACTGAAGCATTTCTTTATTCACATATGCCACTGAAGGGGGTTGGGAAGAGAATGGGCCATACACTAACTAGATACCAAGGGTATAACAGGCCCTCTGCCAGGCCAGTGTAAATGCTAAAAGCAGTAACCTGCAGCATATTCTGACTCAGATACAGACTGCCTCCACCACCATCTTCATGTAGGAGGGTGCTGCAGGTTGAACAGGGAACACCAGGAGCCAAAGTGACAGCTCTATGACAAAAACCTTGACAACACACCACATTCCTTGAGACCACAGACTTTTAGGCTACTTCAGGTGTGACATTAGCCACTAATTCCCTCCTTTGTGCCTCTAATTGATTGAATAACAGAACCTGCCCACTACACTCACTCCTCACCATATAAATTCATTTCTAGCCAAAACCATAAATGAAAGAGGAGAGTCAAGCTCTTATTATACCAGGGTATCATAGGATATCATCATCAAAATCAACAGGAACAGAGGAAGAGCTTAGAGAAGCATTACTTTCTCAGATCCAAAATATCTGGAAGCCTAGTGATAAGTTTTCAGAAACGCACTGGCTGTGTTGTGCTGGTTCTTAAGTTTTCAGATTTTGCATAGCAGTTGTTTCTTGTTCTGCCTATCCTGAATTTGAGAATGACTGATCAACAGCACAAAGAAGTGATAAGTAGTTAATCCATCAGCAACCTTCTAGCTATGAATATATTTGATTTCATACATTAACTCAACGTATGCTCCAAAACAGAAAGTTACTAAGTAGTATATATTTAAGCAACAAAAAAAGATAAAATTCAAGCATTCTTGAAAGTTATTAAGAAGAAAGAGTTGTGTTCTTCTACAAGACCTAAAAAGGTAATCAGTTTCTTGGGATTCTACAACATGTAAGCAAGTGAAACTTTGAAAGTAACTTGTTTTGCTGAAATAATTATAGTGATCAGACTTTTTTTAATCCTACATCTTCCAACAGTTCTTCAAAATACCAGGTTCATTTGGAAGGAACAGTAATCTTCAGGATATCCCAAATAATGAGGATTATAACTTACTTACTTATACACAAAAACACAAAACCTACTCTAAGTATTAAAAACTGATAAAAAATTTGCATTTTAAAGAATAAATTTGAAGACATGGACTTTCATGTAAAATGCAGCATTTATTAAAAATACTTCGCTCTCAGTAGCCTTAAATCAGGCCACAACAGAATACTGCAAAAAGGTAGCAAAGCAAGAAAATTTAGAAAAAAAACCTTAAAAGAATAAAGATTGATGTAAACAAAAATGCTTGAGAAGACATTGGAAAGGATTTGATCACACCTATAAACATCCACACAGAAAAAATATGTCAGGTTCTGTTTCTCATGGAAACTACAAGATTTCTTAATTAAGTTACAGAGCAATTCTGGAGATGTCACACAGTAAGGAAGACTGAAAGAAATGTTATTATTTGCCCCTCATGGAAAAGCAAGAACTTCTAATTGGTAAGACATTTGACTAATGTTCAGCTTGTAGTCAGAAAGAACACAAAATATGTTATGGAAATGAAGTGATTACTCCACAACTAGTCAGCTTTGCCTCTGCACTACTGGGAAATAGCATGTGACTCCCACCTCCTACAATATGGACTGCATCTTCAGCTACCACTAAGTTGAAAATATGGTTGTCCTTCTTTGGATTTGTGTCTAACTTGGATGAACACATTGAAATTTGTGTTTGACAATACTGAGCACTGATGCTGCACATTAACTATGCCATTTACAGGGCCTTTACAGCTAAAGGAGATAAAAAAGGAAAAAAAAAAGGCAATGAAAAGTGATTTGGGGAGAGATTCATAAAAAGAAGCTTGGCCAGCATGTTAAGGTGATCTTCCCACTGTCTCTGCTCTCATGAGACTCCACCTGGAGTGCTGTGTCCAGCTCTCGGACCCACAACATAAGAAAGACATGGGTCCATTGGAATGAGTCCAAAAGAGGGCCATGGAAACAGTCAGAGGGCTGGAATACCTCTCCTATACAGAAAAGCTGATAAGAGTTGGGGGTTTTCAGCCTGCCCAAGAGAAGGCTCCAGGAGGCCTTACTGCACCCTTTTAATACTGAACGTGGACTTATAAGAAAGACAAAAAGAGGGGATTTTTGGATATTTTTTGTTTGTTTGTCTTTATTTTTCTTACCAGGGCCTACAGGGATAGGACAAGGGGTAATAGTTTTAAACTAGAAAGATTTAGATTAGATATTGGAAAAAATTCTTTATGATGAGGGTGGCAAAACACTGGAATGGATTGCCCAGACATGTGGTGGATGCCCCAACCCAAAGAAACCCGCAACCCACTTCTACCACTGAAAAGCTCTCATTTCAGACATAGAAAAGCTTGCTAAGGAGACAGAATTAGGGGGGTCTGAATAAACTTCTAAAATTTGCTCTCCATTCTCTGAGGTTGACAGCACTAATGAACTCTTCAGCCTCTAGCCCAACTTTATCCACTGCGAGCATGGCTGCTGCAAGTTCTACCAACTAAAACACAGTATGACTTATTATTTAGATTAAAACAACCTGCAAAACAGTCTGACCAATGGGAGAATCGCACAGGGGAGCTTAAGTTTCTGAAACTTCAGCAGGTACTCCCGTAAGACTCAGTACTTTTGCAAATGCCACCTGAGCAGCCAAAGATTTATTTTCTAAAGCATATTGGGTTTTTAAAGGACCTTCAATCTTACAAAAATTCAACAGGATCTTGAATATTGGTACTTAAATACGAAACTCTGAAGTCACATTTGAAAACAGAGGAGGATAATTTTTGTGTTAGTAAGCAGGTTGTGCATTCACATCTACCATGCTCTGAGTGAAATACTTAATGCTGAGGATCAGTATCAACACTACAAACATGGGGACAAGCATCTTCTAGTCTTGTCCAATGGACTGAGTACCCATTAGCAGCTGAAGCATCATCAGAGCTATTTATGTAACATATTAGTTTTATGGGAAAGAATTCAGCTTGTAATGTGCAAAACTGTTCCATTATGTGAATCATAACATAAGAAGCAGGGATGACAGACAGATGGGACTTCAAAAATACATTTCTGATCCAAACTGAAACACCAATGTGCTTGCACCCTTTTGCAAATATCAGTGGGTTTCAAAAACTATTCCCTTGTGTTAAGACCCCTAATAAATATGGCAAGGCACACAGTTTTAGCACCCAGAATTATAATTAAAGATTGTATGTGCTCTTATCTCCAAAAGCAAAAATGATGAGTTTGTTCACTAACAATTTATTAACTTTCTAGTAAAAAAATATGAGGGTCTTTTAACATTAACCAATGCTGTCAGTATGCTGTTTGTAAAATCCCCATGGACTGACAGAATATCACTTTCCAATTTAGTCCCTGATCCATGGCCTTCTACCAAAACTCTAAATGAACACAGAGATACAGCACAGTCCATCTCTGAAAAAAGAGTGAGGGACTGTTAAATCTACAAAGATTTCACAACTTGTGAGGTGGTCATGTGAGATAAGAGCACTTGTATTTCATAATACACCCTCAACCCAATCTTTACTCTTCAGCCTTTGTTAATTTAATCTCACTTTTCCCTGGCTTCAAGGGATTCTTCACCAGACCTAAGGGAGGCAAACTTGATAATACAGCTTATGTTAGAACTGGAACTACAAGAGGAAGAGAAAAGGTTTGCTGTTGGTATTGACCCATTGGGAACAGATCTGCAGAAAATGGACATTCAGTACAAACCAAAGGTTTATGCTTCTAAGAGCGAGACAAAAGCACCAATGACTTCCTCTGAGGACACATCTTCCAGCTACTTCAATGCAACTTTTTTCAAGAAACCTGTAATTAGACATTAAAAACAGGGAAACTATATACTGCTACCCAGCATAAGCTTCAGGAAGTCTTATTTCCTCCATGAGTAATCTAATAGTTGTAGAGTGACTTTTTATCAAATGCTCCCACTAAGTTGTTTGAATTGTCATTCAGCAGGATTCTCACTTATGACTCTGTTTTTTACCAAGTGCATTTTGCAGGCCACAAAGAAAAGGCTTTAATACAATTCCTCAGTGCCTTTGTCACAGAGGAGGAGAAATAATTACTGAAAGGATATATTAAATAAGAAAGTCTAACCTTGGATGGAAGGCATCTTGATATAATGTTGTAAGCTTTAGAAGGCAATTGGTCAAATGCCTCCGAAACACTTAGCTACCATTGAAAATGCTGATTCACTGAAAGTCAACTCAAGTGGAAAGTTAATAGAAATCATATGTATACATACAGATGTTTGACTGTGTCTGCATATGTCACTGTGAACTGGTATAAACACAATGATAAACAAGATTGACAATACGAGGCAGGATTACATATGGGAGAGGAGCTGTTGTCTTCCTTTCAGTATGTTCTAGCCTTGCTTCCTCATTGTCATATGCTATTTTTTTAACAATGCTAATGAAAAATGTCTTGCTAGTGCAGATTTGACATTTTCTAATTCCATATTCATGACCATCACATGTATGCTTTTGAAGGACCTAATCCATTTTATTAAAATATATTCTGAAACATGGAAATACACTCTTCCTATTTCCCCTCAAATAACTGACTGGTCCTGTTGACTTAAAGGCTAGAGATACGAGGAGAAGACAGATATTCCACTGTTTCACAACATAAATCAGATGCTAATCTGGAAAAGAATCCAAGGCAGTTGTTGTAAAGACTGGGGTTTTTTACATTAAAATGGACACAATACTGAACTAATCTCTTGAAAACTCAAGAGACTACCAGAAGAGTTTCCAACTCTAATTTTGCTACACCAAAGTATTTTAAAGCCAGAGTACAGCACATGCCTCTACAACTCCATTCTTTAGAAACCACCTTCTTTTCATACTGAGGATAACAAATAGATCATAAGGGACTAACATAGAAAACCTCCTATATCTCTGAAAATAGTAATTGGAGTCTTGTATAGCTATAGGAACAGTTTAAACAAAATCTAGAAAAAATGCCCTAAAATAATAGGCTGTTAAGCATAACTTTGTTTCTAATCAACTTGAAAATATGTAAGAGAAAGTACAGGCTAGGAAGGATGCATTTTTTGACATGAACTTTCTAAGGAGAACTATTTTGAGGCAGAGAAAAGGGGAACTAGAGAGAGGTAGAGTGCCTGTTATCCTCCAGGATGAAAATCAGTTCTCAGAACAGCTGATCAGATATGGCTGCCTGAAAAACTACACCAACTTGCACTACTGAAGAGCACAAGCCCCTTTATCATGAACATGTCTTGGAGAATTCTGGTGTAACTTGAAAGGCCAGCATACTTCCATGACACCATAATACAGTCATTTTAGCTTTGTTTCAGGCTTCTTTACTGGAAGAAGTTGGTTTGTTTCTGTGGAACCCATCTGACAGAAAAGCCATTGTTTGCATGAGGGCAGGACTGCCAAACTGATTAAGAAACACACTAGCCCAGCCATTATTCAAAGAAACTACGTTATAAGGCTTTCTACCTATGTTAGAAGTCATAGAATAAACAAAGACTGTTCCCACCTGTGAGCTTGATGAAGGTCAGAGAACTCTGCTAAACACTGAGACTTCAAGCCCTTCTGGCTACCAAGGACCAAATCTGCAGAAGCCTGTTGTCCAGTCATTCAAGACCCAAGCAAGCAGCATTTAAATAAAATACTTCTTACATTCAGTGGTCTGCTTCTAGTCAACATCCACACTTACCAGTGAGGTAGATATTTTTATCTTGTTTACTTCTAAGTAGAGAAAGAAACGACATCACAGAGAGGTTGAATCTCTGTGGGGAATCAGTATCATGCCAGGAACTGAAGTCAGGCATCTCTGACTCCAGTTCTTGGATTGTATTTCTTTGTGATTTATGGGTGGGTGACAAAAATATGAAAATAGATGGAAAGTCTGACTTTTTGTTGTGTAAATAAGTGAAAGAAATGTATTACAAATATTCAAGTAAACCACACCAAGCACTGGCAGCTACACTCAGATTATCATCATTTAAGTATTGATCTGCATTTCTTCCTTTACCTAAAAACTTCACTTTTACTACCACAGTTCTCTGAGCAAGTGAACAATCTCCACTTATCTTGCAATCTGATTGTTTTTCATGTCTAGTCAGCACTGAAAGCAGATTTTCTAACAGATTTCCATTTCTTGCACTGAAGACTTTGAACAAATGCTCTCCATACAACACAGTTGACAAAGAGGGTAACTCACCATCAGTAGCTTGAAGACTGTATGTCAGGCCCAGTGCCAGGTAACCCTTTGCTAGGGACTCTCCGGCATCCTCACCCAGGTCTATCACCATTTTAGCAAAGTGTTCTCCTTCTTCCAGCTGCAAAAGAGGTAGGTTGAGATTTACAGGCATTTCCTCTATACTTGCTGCAATAAGATTATACCACTAAACTTACCTGTAAGTGATCTGAGAGCCATTCACACAAGGGCTTTCAGAGATCTCAGTGAACAGTCACAAAAAGGATGATGTAGAAGGTCAGATTAGCAGACCCTGGTGCACATGCACAGTTTTGAGAAAAGTTTTTGTTTTGCACCCCAAACTATTTCCAGATGTTTAAGATTAATCAAGGATGCTATCTTACGTTTATAGTTCCCTTCAGACACACTTCAATCATGTAACCTTAAATACACAAGTTGGACTAGCTGGACTATCCTAGCAGTACATTGAAAGGTCTAATGGGTCTCTTCCTTAAAAATAAACACCATCCAGTTTTATATTTATGATTTTTTTAAACCTTAGCAAATTTTATCTCCTTTTAAAACAAGAAAACACTAATTTCAGCACATTTTCCTCCCCACAACTTTCCTTTCCAGCTGTCCACACAGATTTATTAACATCTGTAAAATCTGAGTTAATGGTAATTTTAAACAAAAAGAATAAATTGACTATTTTATTACAGAACAGTGTTTCTTATTTCCAACTTTAGAGTCTCACTACCATCACTCACTCGTTATAAGTAGAAAGGACTAAGACCTGTAGATGGTACATACCTAGAAAGGTGCAGGTTGGAGAGGTACAGGCAAAGCTGTAAGTAATGCCTGAAAGACAGCCTACAGGAAGATCTCCTTTCTGTACAAGACAGTATGCAGTTCCTGTCTACCATGAGAGTCATCCCTAATCAAGACGCAAACATCATTACACTATCGGAAAAATCCTCCTTTTGGAAACTTTTATTGCATGACAACTGACTTCAAGGAATGGGGTTGTTTAATTTTGAGAAAGTACTTTTTTGTTTGAAAGCCATGTGGTTTAGGCACAAGTCCTGCAGACATGTGCCCTTTTAATACTCAGTTTCATCAGACTTCAGTACCTAATGGCTCCTTAACATCTAAAATGACTCACCCATAACAAACTCAAATCAAAATGTAGCAGCAGACTAGAAATTTCCCTTCCACAGAGATCTCTTAATATGCTACCTATGAACAGAATCTACTTGACTTGACATAATATCCTGTCACATCACCTGAAGACATTCAGGTGACAATATTAACTAATGGTTTCATAAATAAAGGAGCTGGGATTTATTAAACTCCCTGAGGCCATATAATTCAAATTAGATGTAGACTGATAGTCCCCAAATTTCTGAAATCTCAAATCAGTCAGTCCAATAACCAATGTATATGTTATCATCAAACTCTTTCCTGAAAGCACTTTGAAATCATTACAGTCTTGCTCATTGCCCAGTCAACTATTAATCTGGAAACTACTAACTGAAACAAGAATATCCCCTTGGGGAATACCTGGGCTACAAACTAAACTGCTAGGACTGTCTTTGAGTCCAAAGTCTACCCAAACCACCAGAAATAGTCCTACTGACTTCAGTGATGTTCAGATGAGACCCTTTAAACTCTGATCACATAAGGAAGACAGAGATTCATTTCAAGAGACTCCTTAATATTGTCAGTAGCCCTACTGACTTCCCTGCCACAAACTGAAGTGTGTTGTGGACCAGAGCCTAGGACAATAGAGAAGAAAATGTCCCATGACTTCCCACACAGAAAAAAACCAAACCAAAACCCAAAACCTAAAAACCAACAAAAAAACCCCTTCTATGAAAAAAACCCTGAATTCTTCAGCTCTCAGGAACTTTTATGTAAGACATGAAATCTCTGCAGCCCAAAAATTCATTATGCACCTCTTTGCCACCATAAACAGCTTTATTCCCACTCTCTTTCTTCATTGTTTATCCTCTTCTCCCCCACACACACTTTCATTCAAGAAGTCTCCATTAAACGAAGAAAAGAACTATACAAGGAATTCTAATGACTAGTGAACAAGGGTAGGGGTGGGTAGAGTGTATGAAGAAAAAGATTAAATGACAGGTTTGGAGCTGAAATGGAGACATTTAAATTGGAGAGATTTTGCTCCATTGTTTCTCTGAATGGTCACCTGATGGTATTTCCAGCCTCTGACTGATGGCCTATGCTACATAAATCAGCAGTACACCATTCAGCCTTCTTGCCTGCCAGTTATCCAGGGCCACCTGTCAGTGTCAGATTAATCTAATGTTTGAATAATTAAAACTACAACTTTTCAGATTGGCTGAAACAGCACTTCCAGCACATTCTTGTAAACATTTATTCATATTAAACACTAATGGCACTTTGACTAGCCACAAAGATTCTTATGAACGCAAACTTGGGTCAGCTGAAGTCTGCTTTGAAAATAAGTGGCCTTGCAAACTCCAGCACAGCTGGTTCTGTTTATGAGAACATTTACTTTTCTTTCTTTCAGCATTGAGACACTTACCCCGCCAGCCCTGCTGCGGCAGCCATCTGCCCCCTCTTCTCCCATTTTCCTCCTCTTCAATCATCCTGGGCAAGTGTGAAAAGCCAAACCTTTCACTCACATCACCCACTGTGAGGTTCAACTCTGCAGTGCATCAGTCTTGCTGATTGCCTAGTCAACTGTGAATCTAGAAACTACTATCTCAAACAGGAATAACCCCCTTGGGACACACTTGGAGCTACCAACTAAACTGCAAGGAATACCAGATTGCAGTCCGGATGAAAACTCCCTCTCCACATACCGAAGTGAGGGACCAGCAATGAGCCTGAGTTGTGATCTGCCAGTAAAGCTGTGTCTGTGGGGGTCCTTAAAGATATGTCTCCACTCTGTACTGCAGTGATGAAAAAGGGAAGGGGGAAGCCATCAAATGAGGCATCAACCCCTTCGGTGACCCATCAGATAGAACCATTCTCCTCCATGTTGCCACATGACCTGAAGCAGGAACTGCTCCCTCTTTCTCCTCTCCCCATGTGGTGCCAGGTATGTAAAATCTCACCTTATGGGACTCACAGAAGTTGTGAGCTCAAGGTACACAGAAGTGAGCTGAGTGGCAGAAAGCTTATCAGGAGAATCAAAATGTCCATTCCTACTCCTGCTGCACAGCCAGGAGCCAGCCTCAGTATGAAGGGTACCTAAGTGATTCATTCACTTCAGAAGAGTACTCCAATGTTAAGGTGACATAATACTGCATTGGAAGGGCAAGAAACATCATCAAAACTTCCTGTTGCAATTTACAGGCCCTTGCCAGTAAGTTTCTGCACAGCAGGCATGGCACAGCATCACTTTGTGATTAGGAAATACACAGCGTCCTGCTGTTACCTGGTTGCTAGCAGCTCCCAATACCAGAGAAAAGATACTTTTTTGGGCCAGTAGCAGCTAGAATTCAGTTTCCTTAGTGTCACTACTTCTTATTCTCTCAGAAGCAAGCAAGATACGAAGTCTCAAAGCCATACAGATATACCTCCAATTTGGCCCTTACTTTTCTTACACTCTTCTGCATACTTGGCACTGAAAAGCTGATGGAGAGAAGGGCAGCATCCCAGGTTGCAGGGAGAAGTTCCCTGCTTCCAAGACTTGCATGGAAGAAAGTTCAGAAAGCACGCATAGAGGAAAAAGAACCTAAGAGGAACTTTTTGCACTTTGAACTCAAGCTGTATAAACTGTCAGGAGGCACCTGGAAGCACTAGCTAAGAAACATCTCCACCACACCAGAAACAGGCAGACACCTGGAACGTGGAGAGAGACAGACTGCTAAACTGAACTCACACCAATGAGGTGATAATACTGTGAGGCTGGTTGTTTTCTTTCCCCTTCTACTGCCTCCATCATGTTTGATAGAAAAAGAACAATTGCTAGCTGTGTTACCCTGAGGGCTGTTTCCTCTGGTACAGAGACTGGCTGTTCCAGCCACCCTTGTTACTTGACTGCAGCTTTTGGTGTGTGCTCCAGCCAAGCCCAGGGGCATACTGACAAGGGAGTGGAGAACAGCAGGTGCTGTCCCCTGGCCTAGTGCCACCCAGCTGGTTTCCAACTGGCACCCAGCTTGTTTTTAGAAAAGCTCAAACCCTACCCCACTGAATCAACACCCTCCAAGACTAAGTGAGAGCTGCAGTTCTCACCAGCACACATTTAGAACAACTGAAGACAAGCAAATTGATGATGTACAGCAGCATGAAAATGGCACCTTGCTGCACCAAAAAAGAGGAGCATACAAGGGAAGAGGCAGGAAATACAACAAATGACACTGGACTTAGGACAGCAGACAAGGTTAGTGAAGTAGGTGAGTTTGGACACCAGTGACACTGAATGATACCCAAGTACTTAAGTGACCCAAATCCTATGAAAAGGGTATCTATGCAAAATTACACATGATATTACCTTGTTGAATTGAAATCTTCTTTTAATTTTCATGACACTGGGTTGTAGGTATAGAGAATAATTCAAAGAGAAGAAAATAAATATTGTGAAAAGAGAATGTTTAGTGGAAAAATTATAGGCAGAAAGTGATCAATAAGGTATAGTCTAACGAAAAGGTTTTGTCCCACAGATGTTTACAGCATATAGAGCTAATGACATGTTACCTGTGTCAGAAAAAAAAAAATCCTGTGTTTTCTATGGTTGGTCCAGTCAGCATTTTCTTTGTGTCACCGTTGTAAAGCCCATCAACTTACTCTGTGTCTAAGCTCAGCCCTCAGCACTTAAGAATACTCAGGCCTTTCCTCCACTGTAGTGAGAGTGGTTTGTTCATAAAGAAGATGTATGGAAGGAAAAATTCTTGGTCATTTTTAATGTTTAAAACCCATGGGATTGCCCCAGTGACAGTAGCGGTGATGTAAGCAAGAATGTCTTTTAAAAGACAGAAGAAATCTCTAGTAGCTCCTTGCCATTCATTGCTTTCTCAGTAGCCTCTCACCCCAGGGATGTCAATCCTCTAGAATGTCCACTCGGCAGGCAGAATAAATCTGGGAACAGGACTAGATTTGATCTTTCAATACTATTCATACTGCAATAAGACCTAAGCATTTCCAGGCAACTTCAGGGCTCCTAAGTGACTGGGTACAAGCACATGCACAGCACTTATTATCTACAGTGGCAGGGTCAACAACAGACAGAAGGAGAGAGAAGCACTCTCTGATTAAGTGGTCTTTGAAAGTAATGAATGATAAGCTATTACCTCAGAAGTATGCAGCTCTAAATCTACATCCTGCCAGCCTCCCCCAACACACACACACACCACAATGTCCTGACCTCACGGTATGTCTTACTCAGTTTTTATGACTCCACGCATGGTCTGCCCTGGCCCAACACCACACTTCTCCCTTTCCCTGACATTCCCTGTCTTCCCAGCAAAGTGCTGGAGCAGAACACTTTGCTGTGCACAGCAGTTGAAAGAAATGAGGGAAAAGTCTCAGGCACAGCACCATCTTGTGCTTCAGCTTTTGCCATGGGATGAAGTCCCTCCAAAAGTTCATACCAGCTGGTAATTCCGGCATCATTCAGTGCTACGCAAGTTCTACACTACAGCACTATTGCTATTGTATCAACTGTGGTGCAACGAAAACTGCAAGAACATGCCTCATGTTGTCCTGGTTTCTGTCAGAGCAGAGTTCCAGAAGATTCAAGCCTATCCTAGCATTGCAGTCCATTTCGCTTTGTGTGTATTTACAAGGTTTTTAATATGTCTCCATTGAAATCAATAGACTAAAAGACACAGGAAAGCATCACAGTAATCCTAAATGCTTTAAATAAGGCTCCTAAAATGGAGAAATTCAATATCTAACACTTGCCTGTAGGCAGAAGTTCCTTTTTTAGTATTTTCACAAGACCTGCCATAACAGGATCCTGGAGAACCTAGATTAGTAGTGAAATTAACAGTACTGTACTATTAAAATATTAAAAACAACAACTCATGCTGCAACTCAAAGTCACTGCCAAAATAGGCAAGTGAGCATTCAGCTGAGGCTGCGCCAGGGAAGGCTGAGTGAAAGAGGAAATTGCAGGAAGCCTTTTAGCAAGTGGAACTCTGAATTTATAGTGGAGCAAGGCAGGACAACCTCAGTATGGACATATTCCAACGAAAGCTACTTCAACTTTTTTCCTATGAAAATTTAAAACAATACTCTGAACTACAATACTCAAAGACTTCCTAGTGCATTCTAGAAAGCTAAAAGACAGCTGGCTAAACACAAATGGGCTTTGTGTTCACATGACAGAAATCATCCACATGCAAATTCAGCAAATGGCATGCTGAAACCCAAGCAAACTGGAAGGCTCAGCAGCATGACGCCTCAAAAGTAATTCTGAGCCCACTACAAACACATTTGTAACACCTGTGTAATGGGCTAGATACAGTATATAAAAATTCAAGCTCCGCTGAAAACTTTTGTATTTGTATTAGGTACAGGCCTGACTGCATCCTGACCATACAAATGTGGTTTATATAGGTGCACTAGTTTTGGAGTTTTCTGGTCCTCCAAGACTACTGGCTTAAGCTTTAGAATGAATCAAGTATTGATTTATTGTTTACACCTTTTTTTTTTTTTAACGATTTTGAAAACCTGTAATTCTGAAAAAGGTAACCAAAACACTGCTTATACCATTCAGTTGTTTACTGCAGGCCCCATCCTAAAAGCTAGTGGTTGATGGGGCAGATCATCTCCTGATGTAAGCCAGCATGGTGCCACTAATATGCCAGTGGAGTAGTGCCAATTTACATCAGCTAATAATCTGGTCATACTGTCACAACAGAAGCTGGGGGCGGTTCAGTTCTTTTCCGCATCAGGCTCTGTTATACATTGATTTGCATGGCACTGTATGAATGTATGCATGTTTTCACTTTGATTTGTTCTCCATTGAGGGATTATTTCATAGATGTGATCTGAGCATCCTCAGTGTTGTAAATCACTACACTACATTTCAATTAATTTTTTTTCCCCTGGTTTTTAAAGTGCGCTGAGACATCATGTACAAAGCCAACAAAACGAGTTAAGTGATCACTAGATTAATCATGAAAGAAACTGTTCTGTGCTTCTTATGACATTCTGTAATTATCCAGCTGCATAAATGTTGTGTTTTGGGGTTTTCTTTATTGCTAGTAACTGAAAAAAGACTAAGTACTGTTTGCCCATGGGCTATAAACAAACTGGATATAATACTGCACCAAAAGCATATAGTAGACAGATGCAGGACATAAATCAGCTGTTTAATTTGGATAAATGTTGATCTGATTTCATCCTTTTCCTGCCTAGCCAGCAATCAAATACATAGATATATTTCCTAATTGAGAAATTAATCGTGCTTTATATGTTCTGAAAAGCAAGATGTATTTGAGTATCTGCAACTGTTAATATTTGTCCATTAGACAGTTCCCGTGCCATGTCTATCCCTCCTTTCTATTTATACTGGCATTGATCAACTTGTTCACTTCCAGTTTAAATTATTCAATTCTGATTTGATTGCCATGTAATTTAAATGCAAATAATTACTGTAAGGATGACATTTAGAAAAACAGCTCTGCTAAGCAGGAAGGTCTTTATTAGTCACAGGAGTCTGGCAGTAATATCAGAAGCATCCCTTTGACTGTGAGATGTGGGAACCTATCATTTCAGTTCTTTTAAAAGATGCTCTGATTTCCCTCTGACTCTCCTTAATTAAAACTCTTCTATTCCATCATCAAATTTCATATGAGGGTAGATCACAGGCCAGTGACTGAAAGGAAGAGGGGAGAGGAATATTTTTAATTTGGTTTTAGTTCATAAGGTTGTGCTCTAGATAACTGCAGTAAAATTACCCTCTTGTGAAATCATGTTTTCATTTCATACTGCACTCCGGTTCTAATCCACAGTCTGATTAAGTAACACTGAAAAAGCAGTAGATAAAAGAAAAAACCATCTTGCTTTGCAATAGTCAAAAAAACAGCTCATTTTTCCCTTCTTCCCTTTCTTATTTTTTAGGGTTCGCCTTTTGCTTTACCAGCTCTGCCATATATGAGAAGTCTGAAGACACAGGATTGCCCAAGGACAGAGGTGGAACTGAATTACAGCCTCACTGTCTTTTCTAAGTGTCTCTATAACAAGGTATTTCTTATATCCTAGCTGTGCTTTGAAAACTTCATCAGAGACACTAGTAAGCCTGGTCGACACAGTTGTAATGCCTGGCTTTCACATTGTTTTACATCTATAAGAACAGAAAAAAACCTTATTTGCTTCATTTTAAAAAATAATATTCACTGTGAACGTTATTTTATATCACTGAATGACTTTCAGCCCTCAAAATTTAGATACTGAGCTATGGGTACAAAGCTAAATTGCTTGTATGTAGAGCAGAGGTAGGTTGGGTAGTTCAGGAAGGATTCTCTGAAGGCCCTCAGACCTAGAAGATTTTTCCTAGAACAAGATGCTGCCCAGTTCTTGCTGACTCATATATAAGTTTAACTATTACAGTCTGAACAGTTTCATTCAAAAACATACATAACCAGATGGCCTTCCTCATGGTGGTGTCAACTGACAGAACTCAAGTTTAGCTGAACACCAGCTTTCACCACATAGGGATGGAGAGGATGGGGAGGCAGGGGTAAGAGGGCACAACAGCAAATGTGAAAGAACTTTTCACCAAAATCTGGGCAGATTCTTTTAGTGTTTTCTTTCATGTTTTCTTGCATCTTTGTTTTACTTCTACTAGCAATTGTAATCCTTCATTGACTGCAGGGACACCTCGTGGTGAGGACAGGTGAGAACAGCAGGCTGCTATTCAGTTAATTAAACCAAGTAGCAAAAGAGTGACAAATGTTTCTGCTCCTTTGGATAACCACGGGCACCAACTTCCACTCCCACTCTTCTTCTAGGGCATACATTAACATATCCAGAGCACAAAACACTGACACATCAACTTCAAGAACACAGGACTGAGTTGTCCAGTGGACTCAAACTGTCTAACAGTCCACTTATAACTATTAACTTTTTTCTTCCAGGGGCTACAAGAGTGGCCAATTCAACACAACACTCAGTTGAAGCAGCAGTCCTCAGCATGGCTGTTACGGCTTTCCACCCTCCTCCTTTTTTTAATATGCCAGTAAAACACATTTCAACAACTCACTGCAAAATTTCTTGCTGGGATTTACACTTTTTTTAAAAGGCACACATGTGCCTGATTTTTAGCAGGGATTCCCTTTCTTCCCACTGCAACTACACTATGGCACTGCCGCTGCAGAACCTGACCTGTTACATAATAAGAATTGCATCAGCTTGCTTACCCAGTGCAGCGACCCAATGCAGACCTTGGCAGCCAGAAGAGGAACGGTGGGATCTGTAGGTCGCAGTTTAGCACATTCTTTGAGCACTGACACAGCATATGCCGACTGGAAGAGAAGTGGGAGAGAGAAGGAGGAAATAAAAAAGGGTGATTAGACAATGCTGTTACAGAGTCCAAGCAAGATATTTCAGTGACATGTACAGAGAAGTACTATGGAGAAAAGAATCATGTCAGCAACAAGTTAGCAACTTTATTCCCACCTCCACACACAGACACATGTGTGTGCACATGTGCACACAAACACATGCCCTTCCCACGCTCAGAGGAAACACACCAAAAAGCCAGCCCTGGCTGTGCACAAGAAAGTTTTCCTTAGCTGTTAATGCACTGGTTATTTTAACTCTGCCCTCTCAATATACAAGAATTCTGCTATAGTTTTCTTTGCACATAACCATGTCCCAGTAAGACAGATCATAAAGATCATAAACAGCTTATCCTCCAGTACATTAACATTTTAGGCCAACTCTACTCAGAGAGGTTTATGCAGCTAAAGTAATCTGCCTGGTAGGTTGTTTTATGTCTTCTACAATTCCAGGACATACAAGAATACAACTGGGACCCCACCATACAAAGGGTGGAGCAAGCAACTGCAGATGAAGACACTGTTCAGTGGGCAGTCCAAGCAAGATACTTCTTAGAAAGAAAGCCCATAAAACTCTTGCTGTCTTCCTGGTGTTAGGTTACCATTAATGAGGACACTTATTAAGATTAGCAGTTACACAGCTGTTATGATTCAATGTACTCTGCAAACATTGCTTTTTACAGCACATACTCATGGCTGCCACATTTCAGATGGTTTAAAGGAGAACGAGGAAAGCTCTGGTCTGAGATGGTGGTATGAAGACCTAGTCAGCTGATGAGGAGGCGAAAGAAGTTACCCTATCACAGTCTCACAGCCCATCCCACCTGAACCACAGTTTCTATCATGATTAAACCTTCCTCACTACTGATCCCTGATCCACTCAAATTTTCTCATCCTTGAGAAAGGAGAAGTTTTATTCTTTTAGAATTTCTCCTTGCATGCCCCTTTCCTCCTAAACTTTTCCACATAGTCCCAAGACACATGCAGGCCTCTCTGACTCAGTGTTCCTGCTCAGCAGCACATTAAATAGTCATGGCCTTTCCATAATACAGGAGAGCGGCAACAAAAGCTTGTAAAGTCAAAATAACAGCTATTCTTATCGGGTCCCAGGCATCTCCTCCTGGCCCCCAGAGGCTCTCCCTACCAGAATTCTGACCAGCACAGGTATCTGAATCTGGTGTCTGCTGCAATTCCCTGCATGGCAGCTTCCCACCAGACATGAGCACTTCCCCTCCCTCCTGCCACACCAAATCGGGCTGCGCCTGCTGACTCCTTTCTCCACAGAACTGAAGGTCCACCTCTTGCTACTGCATTTAAAAGCCTGGTTAGGAATTTGCTTAGAAGGGAGTCTGAAAAGATGGAAAAACAGATGTACATCAGCCATGCTCATACTAAGAGGGGTTTCATAATCAAAGATCTGAGCTCCACGGCAGCAGAGAGCAAACCCTGCCACTTGAAAAGCACACTCTGATGTGTGGTCTGAAGAAGAGCAACGGCATGCCCTATGTTCTTCCTCTTGCTTCCCCTTACCTAGAGCATCAGGTATGATCAATAAAAGTAAGGAAATAGTTGCCATTTTACAATTCAAAACGCACAATTTGCCTAAAGCCAGAAGGAAGCTTGTCTCAGAGCAAAGATGGGAATCAATAAACTTTGTCCTGGAGCTTGAACCATTACCTCATCCCTCTCAGAAATAAAGACATGGGTAATTCAGCTCTTAGATACAGGAAGGAACACATCACCAGGCTTTGCTGTCACAAGGTGACTAGCATCCCTCAGAATGAACCTCTCTGACATCTATTTGTTCAGAACAAGTCGTATCTCAGGTTTTAATGGCATCTTACTCCTCTCTCTCACAGAATGCTACCTGCATTGCAAGCAGCTGGTATTCCCAGTAGCATACTGGACATGTTGGAAATCCAAGCGGAACTCCACAAGGAACCTACCTGGCACATCATCTTCTTGCTCTTCTACATATAATCCAATCTCACAGGTGCTTCCAGAAAAAATAAATGTGCCAGCGGGACAACATGCACCATGACAGTCAGTATATCCGCAACTGAACTCCATCCATCCTTGTCATCTCACCATGCAAAAGTGAATTAAAAAGGCCAGATATGTAAAAGACACTGTCCATAGTCAAAGGTTGCAGAAACAGACACAAACGGAACCCAGTGGTGGTTTTTCAGCTCCCCATCAGCAGCGTGACTGCAGGAAAAGCAGGAGGCACCTGGGAGCTGGCGACAGCTCTCCTGTGGGTCAGCACAACCAGCACTAGCACAAACCAAAGCAGTGACAGGCCTGTCCTAATTTGGGCCACAGCCGTAGGACTTCCCCAGGTCTACATCAGAAGAGAAGTGATACAAGTCCCAAGTCTGCTCAGGAGGCAACTGCAAAACAGTGACTACTCAATGCTGCAAAGCAGAATGTCCCAGCCTGTGTCTACACCCAAACACCTCAAATGTGGAGTCACTTTATTACATGCACTCGGGAGCTTCTGAACATGGGTTTACAAGAGTGAAAGCCACAGTTTCCACACTGCTTCTTAAACATTTACAAAGTTATGTCACTTTAAAGAGGTTTATAAAATTTGCAACTAAACATATGGAGCAGAAGGGGTTTTAGAAACAGGGTGATATGAAGCCTTTCTCCCCAGCTGCATTTTAAAAATTCAAGAGCCATTATGTAATTTCACCTTGAAAACTTTACTCAGCAGATATTTTACATAGATGATGAAAATGTTAGTCAAGGAATGACAGGAGAAATAATATCCCACTTCCACAGTGACCTTACTTAGGGGAGACTGGCATGACATATAGTATCAAGGTTTCTTAAAGATACTAATTACAGACATTAATATCCAGGAGAAAAATATTATCCACTCATTACTGAATACAGATGTCCCTGGTTTGTAAAAATACTTAATATGAAACAGTGTTTGTACAACATTGAAATAATCTGATATTAAAATGTACATATTCTTTCACTTAGAGTGGGTGGACCAGGCAGCCAAGTACATTGTTTGTGAGATTCACTGCAAGGCAATAATAATTAGATTTATTGGTGAGGAATGTTTTGAGAAGAGCAGAAATTGAACTCCAATTCAGTGCATGCTTCCTACTCATAATTCTGAGCTTTAGAGGGGCTCACATCATAATTCAAGACAGGATTTCAGTTCTTTCCGTTTAGCTTGCTAATTGCTGGATTATAATGACTGCACTGGAACCAGTTCCCAAGGACTTCAGAAAACTAGGGATTTGCCTCTGGGTCTCATTTGGCCTCTCTCTGGGAAGAAGGCTTTTAACGTTCCCTCAAACACACACAGACCAGTTAAACAGACATGGTTTAAAAAAATGGCAAACTTGCTGACAGCTGCCTCATGGGGGTTTAAATTTTGCTTATGGGAGGTCTAATGTAGAAGTTCTCAGCCTTGGGATCTTCATCAGATTTAAGATTCATGACCGTCCTCCCTTTGTTATGACCAACAAAGCACACAGTTCAAATCAGGTTATGGAATGGAAATGCTGTTCTAATGAGAATGTTCAGCCATCGAAGAAATTTCAAAAAGAATAAGGGACTTAAGAATTTCAAATACCTGATTGGGCATCTCAATCCTTCACATAACAACAACTTCAGGGTTTTTAAAATGGAGACAAAGATGAACATGGCACTACTGTTGCATATTTAAATCCAAGATCTGTACAAAGTTGGTTTTCTTTGTCAATTTTCCCCTCATCTAATCTACTTACATACCATAGTTTTCTTCTGCGGAGATCACAAACATCCTTTACAACAATTTCTGAGAAAAAAATTAGGCAGTTTCTGGGAAGTAGAAAGCAATACTGATAAATGGTTGCTTTTGATACAGGCTTCTGAAAGAGCTGTATGTACCACATGCAATTTAGGGGCAAGGGCACTTCTTGATCTCCAGCAAGAAATCACAGGGAAGCTATGGGGAAGGAGAAGGAAGGAGAAGACACCTTCCCCTAAGCAATTACAGCAGCCATGATTTTGAATCCTTTAAGGGAGTAAAATGTAAAGAAAAACAACTATCCAAATACAGAACACAATTCTCATTCCCCATTTACTAATTCAATAATGAAGCATGAAGACATACTCCTCAAAGATTCTTGTACATGAGGTCTTGCCATCAGTTATGATAAACTCATAGATGCTGCCCAAATGCTGGTTTTCCTAGCTTACTCCAGTGTAATTTTCTTTCCCCTCCTCTGCTCTCTCACTATACCAAAGCAACAAAAGAAGGATGTTAGGAACTTGTTTCATATTTAGAAGATAAGAAACCACAGATATAAGTAAAAGAAAGAAGAATTCCCAGACAGTAAATCATGCCAGACAAACTTTGACATGCTATAAATAATTGCTCTCCTCTTGCAAAGGTTCCAAAGACTTTTCTATTTTTTTTGCTTCTTTGGCAATACTTTTTAGCCAGAGGGAAAAACTTTTCACCTCATGGTGGTGGTTTTGGTAGACAGCCTCATTCCCAGTTCACCTGGCAGTTTAGTACAGAGATGAATCTCCACAACCAGTACTGCTATATTTCTAGCATCATCCTATCTGACTTTAAAAACTGCATTATTTCAAAGGGATTGTGGGGAAGGAGAGGAAATCTTTCATCACTATACAAGAATTAATATTCCCTGTATCCTGGGATTCACAGACATTTAACTATAAATGACCTTGAACCAACGCAGAAAGATGACAGTGTGAGCCAGCAATTGAGAACTCTGGAATTAGTTGTTTTGGTGTTACTCTTCCACTGAATTCAGAGATTTCTGTGAACCCCTCAGCATTAACATTATTCCCCTAAGATATTTACTTCTCTTAACACAAGGACCAATTCTCTCCCTTTTCTTTTACCTCATATTTAGCAAATTCCAGCATTGGAGTTAAGCAGCTTCCAACACTCCCTCTTAAAAGTACCTCTTAAATTCTAAGATCTAGAA